TATGCCATATTTTTATTTTGAAACGTTTCCTTCTATTCTATTTCTTTATAATGTTTTATATTTAAAAAATCAGAGGCATTTTTATAAGGTGTAAGACTATTCGGCAATATTCCGCATGGAAATTAGTATCCGTTCAATGCTTAAAGTCTCCAGCTTTGGAATATGTACAAAAATCTTGCCAATATTTGCCACTGCCAAAAAAAACATTGATTTAAATAGATTCTTAAAGGAAATAGTCTTTACCCTATAACACCCATCCTCGCTCAAATATCGTCTATAATATACAAATTACTTTCTTGTTCTAGCATCCTCATCCAATTGCTTGGTTTTGCACAGAATGGCCCTATTTGATCGGTGGAAAGGGTTTCAGAATAGAGGAAAAAATATTGTGTAGGAAAAACAAAATGAGGTTCCATATTAGCACCCTCTCCTCTAATAATTAATATTACTAGCAAAAAAGCAAAAAAATCATAAAACATAATTTTGGCCAACTTTTAGTTCTTAATACCCTCTGTGCGCCGTCGGCGCCTGCAAAAGCAGAAATAAATAAATTTTCGTTCCGGTAAAAGCGAGAACGCCGATGAACGCTGGTTGACGGCTCCTACCTGCTTTCACTGTGAACTAGCCGATTTGATAACACGCTTTAATTTTTCAAGGTTATAAGCGCGAGGCGGCGCGGCGCGGCGCTACTATGTAACCATATACAGGGTGTCCCAGAAATACGTGCAAGTATTTTAACTTAACTGGTAGTATAGTTCAACCCCAGAAACACGCCTATGAGGTTTTTTTCTAAATATTTTTTTTTGAAAATTCGGAATTTTTTGAAAATATTTTTGGAATTTTTTTGCAATTTTTTTTAGTTTTTATTTAAAAAAATAATTTCTTGATAATATGGCAACATAGGTAGTAGATTAAATTTATAAGAAAGAAAATCCAGAAAAGATCCAGTGGTTCTCAAACAAATCTCGAAGTATTGGAAAGAATATGTAAGGACCAAGAACTATTGACTACAATAAAACGACGAAAAGCAGCATATTTTGGTCATATTTTTCGAAATAACAAATATAGTTTCCTACAGCTGATCGTTGAGGGAAAGATTGAAGGACGACGAGGCATCGGGCGTAAACGGTTTTCCTGCATGCGGAATTTGCGCCAGTGCCATGGTTTAATATAGGAGAGGCAAGTGCAATTATCCGTTTGGCTCAAGACAGGGAGGAATTCCAATTGATGGTCGCCAACCTCCGATGAGGAGAAGGCACATGAAGAAGGTTCTCAAAATTTGAGCAAAAAATCATTTTTTTTGGAAATTTTCAAAGTAAAATAACTCCGTTATTTTGGACTTATTTGAAAAACGAAAAGAGAGAAAATATGTTTCTTTTATCTAGATCTACCACCCTTTAAAATACTTGCACTTATTTCTGGGATACCCTGTTTATAACAATACACGTGATGTGTATACGCAAAGTTGCGAACGATGTCAAGAATAGGTGCCCAGATTGGCGCTGACTACCAGTAAGCGGCAAACCTGCTTGCACTGTGTTCGCACACTCACTGCTTCTCGCTGAGTACGTACCCACTTAGGTTTTTCGGGTGAAGGATGGGAGAAAGGGATAGAATCCAACATACCGCCCACCAAAATGAAATATTTTCCATTTTCGTTTGAGAATTGTAAAGTAAGATAAAAAAAAGAAAAAAAATGCGTTATATTTAAAACAAAGTAAGAGTGCAATGTATGAAATTTATTGAGTTAAATTTAGAGGAAATACATAAAAAAGTATTATTAGGGTTAATGTTTGAGTGTAATATAATTAAACGTTCTCTAACCTAGTGTGAGTACATATTATCAAAGTAAAACCTCTGAAGGCGGGTAAGGGGACAAATAACTCACAATCTTTAAGATGTTTATTTAAATTTTAATGCTTCAAAAAAAGCAGGGGGCGACATGTTTCGGGGCTAAAACAATTCCCATCATCAGGCCCAGAAAGCTAAAACAATTACAATCAGAATAATAGAAAATTCCAATAGTCAAACAGAGGTCAAACTTATAAAATACGATCACAAAACAAATTAAAAAGTTAAAAAACATTTTTTATAAAAAGTTAAAAGGTTATATCTATCACAATAATTTGTTACGGGTTCATTTTCTCATTAGATTATTTTCTTCATTTTGACAATAACTTAGTCCTTGTAGCATTTTCATTTTCCAAATGCTACTTTGTTTTATTATAGACGGTATTTTATTATTGTATCGATATTCTTTTTACATTTCTACAACGCTTAAATTTCGGAACGCTCTCTATCGAAAATATTGGATCGTACCCTTGTGTATCGACAAGACGGGAAACGTCAAAATCGTCACCTCGGATTTGGCCGTTACCGAGGTCACTGTGCCATTTTGAGGTAAATTAATACCTTCGTAAAATTTTCGAGTTTTTTAAAAGGTGAGGTTAACTAATACCGTGCATTTCTTTTTAGGTTTTTCCACAGATTTTTCTACAGATTTTGCATTTTTCTAGACGTTTTTCTACAGTTTTTCTACACTTGTGTCTAGAAGTTTTTTCGCCAAGTTTTTCTTCGAGATTTTCAATCACCGAGTTAATCAGTAGCAGCCTGTTCAGTTAGATTTCAGCCCTGCACCCCTCTGAGGAAAAGTTAGATGCTGTGATGGTTTTGTATTATTAAGAAGATCCTTTTTTTTAGTATAATTTGGTATACAAGGCCAGTATATTTTTTATAGTAAACTAAAATTTTATTAATTTGATTTTAAATAATCATTAGTGTGTTAAGAAATTAACTATTCTTAACATTTTACATTTAACTGGTTAAGTACTTGTCTTCAGCATTACATTAACCCTTAATTTATAAAATTTAACGTTCTGTTACATTTTATTATTTTTTTAACACTTTAAGTATTTGCCTTCAGCATTGCTTAAATTTACTTGTATTTGATTATTAAAATAATCATGTTATATTGATTGATTATTCAGATTTAACATCTATTTATGTTAACCTTTTATATCATTACGATCTTTGACCTGTAAGGGCAATCTTGGGTACAGATTTTAAACTTTTTCCCTTAACTATATACAAACAAAAAGGTTCATGAATCTTCGAAATAAGTCAAATAAAATTTAAATATTTATTATTCGAATATAACCAAGACCGTCTCTAAAAGTATTTTTTTTATATTATAATTGTTTGAATAATATTTGAAAAGACATAATTTGATTTTAAACAAGTTTTAAGATAGAGTCTCTTAAACATATTTCTTGTATATTAATGTACATAACTGTTGTGCCGAATAGGTACCGAATATTTCTAACAAGTAATAAATCTTTTTTTTTGGGGTATTTGAATTGTTTCATTGGTTGATCCAGTTTCTCAAAATATTTAATAGCTATACTAATTTTAGTTTCTATTCAATTAATACACTTGTACAAATTTTCTTATTTCAGTTTGTACTATCCTTTGTAAAGTATCAGCATCTTTTTGAAATAAGTGGCGACCTTTGGTATGCAGTGTAAGATATAGGGGGGTATCATATTTTTAGTGCAGAAGCAAAAGCTTGTTCCCACTGCCTCCGATATAAGAGTAGCCGTTCGCAATATTTTGACTTAAATTTTCAATAAAAGGAAAGTTTTTGTCACAAAGAAAGTGGCGCCCAACGTGGGGCCCGATGGATACCTGGCTGTCACCCAGGAGGCTCGGGTTCGATTCCCGGTACCGGAACCATTCTCCCCCTCCAAGAAAAAATAGACATTGATAAATGGCTATTTCCCAGATATGTACAAAATTACAAGAATATTTACATACTTAAAAAAATACGAAGATTCTTAAGCTTGTTAAGATATTCTTACTGGGATAGCTACGTGTATCACTCGTCCTTACGGAAGACAAAATCGGTGGGTCACAATCAGGAAGGTCTCAAAATCGATGAAGGTCAAAATCGGAAGACATAAGCTGAGAAATCCTAGGCTCAGAATATTACGACACAAACACATAACTTAGTAAATTAAAAATTGTTTAATGACACTCAGATCAACAGTGGTCGGCAATCCAATTTACTAAGAGTCCACATACATCAGATCAGGACTACTAAAATTAATAAAAGAAATAGATAAATTAATTATCTCTAACACATAGCATAAGGTTAAGCTTAGACAATGAAATTGCATCATCAAAACAGCTATCATATCCCAAATGTGTTTTTTTTAAATATTTCCCATATAGAGTCAAATCCGAAAAATCCGAGCAGGAAATGTAAAGGTCTCTTCTAGTCAAATTAGAAGGAAAGTAAATTTCAGTTTGAACTGAAAAAGTTCAAAATACTTTCATATAAAAACTATAAAAGTAAAGACACTATTGACTAAACTCAAAGGTCAAAAAAAATAAATCAGAATAGAATAGATGACTTTATCTGACTATCAAAACAAATCAATGATGACTATCAAAACAAATCATATAAACTGTAACTAAATTATAGTCACGCCTAAACTCAAGACAGAAATGTAAATTTCAAGCTATATACACCCTGTATATTTCGGGTACTTTATACCAAAGACTATATGTACTCAAGAGAATCCTTACTCGAGCAGCACAAACTAAATACATAATGTAGTGAATGTTAAAAATGTGGCCAACATATTAACATATCACCAATCTATACAAATATATACTATATGGCGAGTGCAAAACTCGACATCTATATGTCCCAAAATATAAACTAGAAAACATTTTTGGTCCGTTTATAAAAATCCCATGCCATTTATCTAAATACAGAACTATCTGTAGTCTCTAAAAATATCAATCAACATATTGACTGAACTTGAATAAATTTATCTGTACTGTCAAAGACAAAAACTGTGAATGAAAATTGATGCAACTAACATATTGTAATTAACATCAAGAAAGATAAATCAATATCATTAATATAATAAACACCTCAGCATACCCAGTATACATATGCACACAACTATAAGTTTTTACTAAAACAAAATATATTAATCTTCACTCGATAAAGATCTTTGATCATCTTCTATGTGGTTGAAAGGCTTCAAATCTTTAATATGCCAATTACCAGCTTTAGAACCATCAAGATCTTCAAGATTATAGACTAAATTAGATATTTTTTTACGAACTATAGAATGAATATATTTAGGTACTAATTTTGCTGAAAATTTGTCAGCAGCGCTAGACAAAATTTTATTTCTACGCCATACATGGTCTCCTACATTAAAAGAAACATCTCTTTTCCTAAGATTATAAGAACGAGAATTACGCTCATGCGCTAAATGAAGATTACTACGAACTTGAATAAAAATATCTTTAAAATTTTGAAGATTAGCCGCGTAACGGTTACGATCACCTGGAACTATCTCTAGGTCTTCGTGAGGAACTTCACTACGATAAAACTGTCCCGAAAGAGGTGGATGTCTACCAAAATTTAAAAATGCTGGTGTAAAATGGGTTACTTTTTTTACATTTGAGGCAATTTTTTACATTTTTTGCAGTATTTATGGCTTGCTGTATCTTGCTAATTTCTTTATCCCAATTTTCATGTTTATCTATATAACTCCGAACTGCGGTTCCTACAGTCCTATTGTTTCTTTCTACAAAGTTACAATGCGGTGAATATATAGGATTAAATCGAATATTAATATCAAAATTTTTACATAAATTCTTAAATGTTTTCATGAAAATTGAGTTCTATTATCACAAATGATAGTTTGTGAGCAACCATAAACCAAAATAACACGATTCTCCAAGATATCTTCAATAAAATGTGCTTTAGCTGAACGTAATGGAAAAAGAAGAGTATACTTTGAAAACCAATCAGCTATAACTAACAACCATTTATTACCTTTCTTTGACCTAGGTAGAGGTCCTATAAGATCTATAGCTATCACTTGAAATGGTAAATCAACAACTTTCTCTTTACCCATAAGTCCCATTCTAGCAGTGTTAGGAGCTTTTTGAGCACCACAAACCTCGCAGTTTCTAACAAATCTTAAAATATCCTCTCTCATTTTCGGCCAATAGTGCAATTCTTGAACTCTATTCAAAGTTTTAAAGAAACCAAAATGACCACTTGTAGGCGGGCTATGACAAGAATCTATAACTTCATGTCGCTGTGGCTTTGGAACAAGGAATTTCCATTCTGGAAGGTTTTGATTCATAGGAAGACAGTTGGGGGCAAATTTATAAACAAAATCATTCTCGACTTTCCACTGTGGAAAATTCTCTGGTGAGTCAATGATTTTCTGTCTCATTTTATCATACCAAGGATCTATGCGATCTACATCAATCATACAAATTACCCTTTCTTCAGAAATATCAGGAGTGTGTTCTTGAACATCCTCACTGCCAGGAATACGTGACATTGCGTCAGCAATGACATTGGAAACTCCCTTCTTATGAATTATGTCAAAAGTGTGCTGTCTTAAACGCACGCTCCAACGAGCCAATTTCCCAGAAGGATTACTTAAATTATTTAACCATAATAAACTGTGGTTATCTGTAACAACGCTAAAAGGAACTCCTTCAATGTAGCACCTAAATTTCTCTATATTAAAAAGAACTGCTAAGCATTCTTTCTCAACAGTTGAATAATTACGCTCAGTTCGCGATAAAGAGCGACTGGCGTAGGCTATAATCTTATTCTCACCATCAATCTTTTGTAACAAAACTCCACCCAAACCGGTGTCTGAAGCATCTGACTCAATAAAAAATTTCTCTGAAAAATTAGGTTGTGACAAAATCGGAGCTGACAATAGAAGATCTTTAATATGCAAAAATGAATTTTCTGCCTTGGTATTCCACTCTATGGATTGTCCTTTCTTACTTCCTTTAAGAAGATTGTTAATAGGAGACATCAAAGTTGAAAAGTCTTTAATAAAGCGACGATACCATGAGCAGAGTCCAACGAATCTTTTAATCTCAGTAGTAGTTCGAGGTCGTGGATAGTTTGCCATAGCTGATACTTTATCTGGGTCTGTTCTAAGTGAATTTGAGCCAACAACATATCCTAAAAATTTTAAAGTGGTTTTAAAAAAATCACACTTCTTCAAATTTATAGTAAGTCCTGCTTCACGAAGTTTTTCTCTCACTTCAGTGAGGAGTTTTATATGATGATCAAAATCTTCACTTATAACTAAGATATCATCTAGATAAGTGAATATATGGGGCTCAAACTTAGGACCGAAAATAGCATCTACTAAACACTGCTGAGTCTGCGCAGCATTGCGAAGACCGAATGGCATTGTTATGAACTGAAAAAGCCCTCGACCTACTACAGCAAAAGCAGTCTTTTCTTTTGAACGTTCATCAAGAGGAATTTGCCAAAAAGCTTTACGTAAATCAATAGAAGAGATAAATTTAGAATTTCTTAATGAAGTTAAAATTCTTTCAACGTTAGGCAAAGGATAGCAATCATGTTTGGACGGTTCTTTGGACGGTTCTTTCACACCTAACTTTAACATTTCGTCTAATTCGTTATTTAAAATTTTAGCCATATAAGAAGACATAGAAAAAGATCTACGTTTGAAAGGTGGGGCGTCACCAGTATCGATGTTTAAAGTAATTTTATCAGTACGCCCTAACTTATCTTGACTACTAATCTCATCAAAAGAAGCAATAATATTTTCAGCTCGAATTCGCTGTTCAATAGAAAGATCATCTAATGAGTTTAATAAAGGAAACAAATCATTTGAACTAGGCATATCAGTTACACAAAGGTTAGAGTTCTCATGCTCTCTCTGTACATGCCAAGAATCATTCTTAAAATTAACTACTATATTAAAAGTTTTTGCAAAATCACAACCAAATATAAAAGTTTGTGGTAAAGATGGAACTACAAAAGCTTTGATAACATGACAACAGTTGTCAATTGCTACAGGCAAATCTACAATTCCGCTGACAACCTGTTGTTTTAAATCAGCTGTGCATATATAATTGGTATTTGCTGGGTAAATCTTTAAATTCAAATTATTTAAAATGTCCAAACCCTTTGAACCAACTACAGAAGCAGTAGCTCCTGAATCTAATAAAACGGTTAAACCACTTACATCGTACAACTTCACAGAAATATATGGTCTATTATCAAGTGACTTATTTACGAACAAAGGAGAAACTTCATTTCCATCACTACTTTCTGGAATACAACCTTTATTCGAAACCTTACTTTTGCAAACTCTATTCTTCACTAAAGAAGTAACCATAAAATTATGAACTTTATTCAGCCAAGCTGACCAATCTTTATTATTAAAAAACTTCTTAAAAACAGGTGACTTATCTTGAAGGTGATTGTCTTCAAAAAATATTTGAAAATCTTTTACTATAAAAATTTTTAGAGGCCTTATTATGAACTGTGGATCGACCCCTGAAATTCACAGAACCTACTGGTTTTTTGAACATTTAGTACAAGAAGTTGTTTTTACATCAGGCAATCCACATTTAAAACAGAATAATTTTTTAGGAGCAATACAATTCTGAAAAGTATGGTTAGCAAGACCACAATTCCAGCAAACAATAGACCGTTTAGATTTATCAGATTTAATAGAATTATTAGATTTAAAAGAATTATTGTTGTTATTACTATTAAAATTATTTTTATTTTTATTAAACTTATCTTTAGAATTGTACTTCCGATTACTACTTTTAGAACAAGATGGAGATGGCTCGTCTAAACTAGAAATACATTCTTTCGGTCTTTTGTCCTTCTTAGTAAGATAATCAGCCTCCTCAAGACGTCTACATAAATCTGAAAGTTCTGCAACAGTGTTAATATTTGTAAGTGCTAACCTGCTAACAAATTCTGGAAGAAGATTCCTTTTAATTTGTTTAATTTTAGAAGTTTCGAAAGGTGTTCGCGAAAGTCTCGCAAAAAGGCTTCCAGATGAGCAATGAAAACTACCGTTGACTCATTTTTCCGCTGTTTCCTCATTTTGATCTGCTCCCAAATCTCTTCGTCAATATCATCACGCTTTAGTCTAGCTACTAAATCTTCCCAGTTATTAACAGACTTCTTTATACTTCTGTACCAAACAAAAGCATCATTAACAAAAAATTCAGCTGCAGAATTAAAAAGTTCACTAGTTGAGACATTTCTAGCTGAGGCAAGTTCAGTTAATCTTTCTAAAAATGGATATAAACTATTACCGGTACCATCAAATTTAATTTGCCATTCACTAACAGGTTGACTACGCGATGAACAACTTACAATAGGGGTTGGAATGTTTATAACTGGATTTGAAACAAAAGATTCATTAGTATTTGACGTAGATGGAATTTTGTCATAAAGGTCGCCTTCTAATTTCAAACAAGTAGCATTAGTCTCACTAATATAAGTCTTAACCAATGGTAATAATTTAGGGTCTAAAGAAAATAATATAATTCGCTGAACTCTACCTGCAATATGACTCAAACGCGACTTTACTCTAAGAAATGTACTGTCACTTTCTGTACCTTCAAAGTCTTCGACAATTAAATTAACTGAATTTAAACTTTTCTCAATAGCTTCTTGTTCTTTGTTAAAATCTAATTCTATATTTGCTAACTGTATATTATTACCAGGTTTAGATTTTTCACTAGCTAATAATCGACTTAAAATTTTACGTTTGTCTGCAACAGGACGAGTAGTAGCAGACTGACGAATAAACAATTCATAATCCAACTCATAATCTAAAAGATGACTAGGTCTAAAGTTATAAATGTCCATTATGAATGGCTAAATGAAAAGATAAATAAATATTGAGGAAAAAGAAAACAGATCCAATATAACGTTAGCTCCGACTAAAACTACTAACAAGTATTCTCACCCTGTAGGTGCGTATACTTACTCTTTAAAAGTTTGTAGTCAATTCAAACATAAAATTATCAATATCAAAACCTAAATCAAATGTTAAACATTAACATTAAAATCACTTTTCAAAAGATTCTCAATAAATTAGTCTCAAAAAAGTTTAAACACAAAGTAAAAACCAAGTAAAATCAAATTGTATGATGTATACTGTTACTCAAAAAAAATGAAATGTTAGATACAAAAAAAAATCATTAATGAGGTTTTTCTTTCTTACTAAAATGTTCCAAGTTCAATCATATACTGAACAAGAAAACTAAACTATATGTATACCTTGTATAAAATATACAAGTCAATGTATACCTAAGTGCCAAATCAAAATATGTCTATCTTCAGTAAACACGTATAAAAAAATTGAAAATGTTTTCCAAGTTTTCCGAGAGATGCAAGAAGACATCGAACTACATAGACCGAGTGCAACAAAATTGGCATTTATTTATGTGTATCAAGGATTTGTTTTTTTTATTCTTGATATTTTTTTTATTTATATTAATTTTTGATATTTATATCTGTTTATCTGGTTACAATGGCTAATAGAAAGGTTATCGCGAATCGACTTACACTCAGGATGAGCTGATATATTTTCTAAGTATTAGGGGTATCGGAACAGGGAGTGTCCAGGAGATGAGACACTGGCTGTCATTGGCATTCCAAATGGAGAAAAGTCGCGATAGCATCAGATATCCAACGTATCCCTTCACTTTTGATGAAGATGCCAAGGCAGTTAAGGATAAATTGGAATTGATCAGCCCTGAAATTGAATCATTTGAGAACTCTAATACGAGCGCAGCTTATCAAAGTTTACAAACAAAAATTTCTTATATTTTAACTAGCATTGACAACATGGGGACAGAGAACGAGAAAGACAAAGAGACTCGAAAGGGAAATTTGTTAGCATAAACACTGACCTTAATTAGCAAACTAAACAAAAAAGTAGAGGAACACCCGACAGCTCAAGGTTCTAGTCATCCACAACTAGTAAACCCGGATGGTAATTTGGAACCCCACGACACAAATGGTATTCTTAATGCAAGCACATCATCTAGAGTTGGAGGTAGACATGGTGGTGCTGATATTGCTGCGGCTATGAGCTCGATTAAGCCGATATTGCCCAATAAGCGGGATGTTAAATTTTCTGGAGATAAGAAAAGTTTGTCACTGATGGCTTTCTTCGAGAGAGTCGAAGAATTAAGTAAAGCCAGGAATGTTTCAAAGGAAATACTTTTGGAATGTGGGATTGATCTATTTACTGGAAGAGCATATAGATTTTATCAAGAATGTAGGATGGAAGCAAGGACTTGGGATGAATTGGTAGGTGTGTTCAAGGAAGAATACTTGCCTGCAGACTACGAAAACAAATTGTTCGACGAGATCAGGAAAATAACACAAGGTTCAGAGGAGACTATTGGTAGTTATCTGGCTATCATGGTGCAGTATTTTCAGAGGCTTTCTTCTCCTCTTTCGGAAGCAGCGAAATTGAAGATTTTACTAAAAAATATTTCCCCCTTTTACCAAAATCAACTTGGGTTGATAGATATTACAACCATCGCACAATTAAGGACACTTTGTCGAAGACTGGAGGCTAGAAGAGAATCTGTTGAGAATTTTGCAATGCCTACTCGTCGCACTAATGTTTTAGAGCCTGATTTGGCGTACTTAAAGTGGAAGAGCACTTGGCTAATGTCGAAGTAACTCCTAATACCAGTAGAATACCTGTACAAACGAAAGAGGTACTTTGTTATCGATGCCAACAACCGTTAAATTGTTATCGATGCCGTCATCGAGCGATTGGATGTCTCTTACCGGCAAAGATGCACTGTTACAAGTGTAAAAAGGAAGGATACACTGTGAAGACTTGCCCTTCTTGCCGCCAGGGAAACGCCAATCGGCGGACTTAGGTCTTGAGCCTAAGTCTGCCACAGCGTTACCACCTAATAATTTACAAATTTTACTAGGATTTATTTTCGACCATGCTGCTGGTGATGAGAGAACTTAACTTAAAGTTGATATTTTAGGAAATAAAATTTTGGGACTTTTGGACTGTGGAGCTTCCCGGACTTTTATTTCCTTAAATATTTGGAAAATTTAGAGTGATTACTCTCTCTATATTTAGAGAATATTTTTATTATTGTGAGTTATTAATTGTTTCTCATTGGTGACAGCCTCTACTCTCGTAAAAAAAAAAACACTTATTTTTTTTTATTTAAGTAGATTTTCCTTTTCTTTTGTAAGTTACTTCGATTCATATCTTTAAATTTTTATAGTGTAAATTTCACACTTTAAATTTAATATATAGTATTTTTGTTTTACAATCTTTTTATTTATTTAATGGCAATCCATCTATTTTTCACATAAATATTTCGTAATTTAGTCAGAACAACTCTTCTCTGTGGATTATAAATTACGTGGCGCCCTGGGAATTTATTTCCCGTAAGATCTGTAACCCACCCCGTCTCCACTGTATAAAAGCTAGAGGGTATCTACCGAGGAGAAATTTTATAGTGGATTTAGCCGTCTCTGAAACTTTCTGTTTTTATTAAGATTTTTAATTTTTCTTACGCCACAAATTGTTCAATCACAGATAACAATATGGTAAACTGCCAAAGTAAAACAGAATCTCTTTGTTTTATTTTGGCAGTTACCTACTTATTGATAATACAACCTTGTGGTTCCCACACACAGAGGGCGCTTATGGTTTTTATTTGAGAATTTCTTCATATTTTAATATAACAAAATTGATTTTTTCAGTTAAGAAACTAATCTCCCTATCAGGGCTATCAGTGTTTCTTTTTTCAAAAAAACTAAATATGGATGCAGAGTACCCCCTTTTTTAATTTTAATTTTACATTATCACAGAAACATTCTTATAAGACGAACGATTATTCTCGTCAAAAATGAAAATATAAAATTGAAATATGACAAAATTACAAAATTAAATATCTACATATACAAATTGAAATAATCATAATTCTTAACTTACATTACTAATACAAAAAATAAAAAATGTGTCCCTCAAAATACACTTAACTAATGTTTAAGTAAATTTCTTTGAATTGTGCATTGAGGTATGATTTGATTATTGCCTTGTTGTTTTTTCTGTCAATTTGTCTAATTATAGTGGATTATACTGCTCCCCTCACCTTATGATTTTAGTCTAGTTGTTTTAGTTTTCAAATTTAGCTTACCATATTGTTTTCTGTGATTGAACAGTTATTGTGATAGATATAACCTTTTAACTTTTTATAAAAAAAAATAACTTTTTAATTTGTATTGTGATCGTATTTTATAATTTTGACCTCTGTTTGACTATTGGAATTTTCTATTATTCTGATTGTAATTGTTTTAGCTTTCTGGTCCTGATGATGGGAATTGTTTAAGTCCCGAGACATGTCGCCCCCTGCTTTTTTTGAAGCATTAAAATTTAAATCTGTATGGTATGTGGACGTTAGGTGTGGGAGCTCATCCCCAACCAACACAGCCTCGAAGAGCCCCTTACAATACCACCAGCCATGTGGAAATCAAACATGGATCACAGATACAGGCTCTCGTACCTCAAACCACCAATCAGGACATATAACTCGCCATGTAACTGGACGGTAAAACCCTGGAAACGACACAACTTATGCACAAAATGCATTTTAAAAGTTTTAGAACTTACCTCACGATGCTGAGGGTTTACTCAAAAATTAAATTCATGACAGGACAACCTAAACCACGTTTAGAAAATCTGTAAAGAGATAAGGTTGAACCAAAAGAGTAAAAATGTGATGAAGATCAAACTTACCACCAAAATACCCATATATCAAGGATTTGTTTTTTTTATTCTTGATATTTTTTTTATTTATATTAATTTTTGATATTTATATCTGTTTATCTGGTTACAATGGCTAATAGAAAGGTTATCGCGAATCGACTTACACTCAGGATGAGCTGATATATTTTCTAAGTATTAGGGGTATCGGAACAGGGAGTGTCCAGGAGATGAGACACTGGCTGTCATTGGCATTCCAAATGGAGAAAAGTCGCGATAGCATCAGATATCCAACGTATCCCTTCACTTTTGATGAAGATGCCAAGGCAGTTAAGGATAAATTGGAATTGATCAGCCCTGAAATTGAATCATTTGAGAACTCTAAGGTTGAACCAAAAGAGTAAAAATGTGATGAAGATCAAACTTACCACCAAAATACCCATGAAAACTTAAAATTGATTCCTTCCCCAAGTGCCAGGAACCATTAGGACTACATTTCAAAGTTTGAAATTATAAAATGGTTGAAACTTTTTCCGATGACTTCAGATAAATATGGTTGATATTTAAGCCACGAAATCTGAATCAAAAATGGTGACTTCCGATAGTTAAAAAGACGCTCTAGTTCTGCGCCGACAAGTACGATCAACAGAGTATCCGAAAGTAGTCAGAACTAATTCGGTAGGCTGTCTGTTGGGTTGCCAATGGTATCGTTTTATTAAAACGTTACAAGGGGGTAATTTCTCTTGAATTTGGGAAACTCGATTGCTCACAAAAGTGTTCTACTTATATGGTTCACTTTTAAGCCAATGCAAAACAACCATCGAGTCGGGCCATGCAATCGTACTAACATTAATAAGTTTTTCAAAAAGCGAAGTTTTAACGAAATCAATTAACCTGGCCAGAAGTAAGGCTGCACAGAGTTCTAGTCTTAGAATTGAGATTTTTTGAGTGGAGCTACTTTACCTCTAGCGCAGACAAAATTTGTTTTTACAGAGTTATCTGTAAAAAGAAATCTGTCTGTTTTTCAGAATTATCCTGAAATAAATTATTGCACAATAGCCATTCTTACTAGCATCACAAAACCCATGTACTTTCAGGGATAAATATT